ATGGTTTGAATATGTAACGACTATAGTTTACTTCATAGAATGTCATGATATAGTTGTATCATCATGTATACATACATAATCCGTTTGTGATCAAACTTTGTATGGATCAGATAAATAATTTGTATCAAGCATAACCGATTAAACTTGACTCGTGATTAATTTAAGTGAAATAAATACCATATCAATTTTTCTTAAAGATAACATAAGAAATATTTAATTCCATTCCAATGTCTTCGTATTGGAGCAGTATTATCTCTTGCTAATAAATTTATAGAAAAAACTATATTAGGTCGAGTATTATTAGTAAGATATATCAATGCACCAATGACACTAAGACATGGTACTTCGAGACCAAGTAATTCTTCATTATCTTCTCGAGGTCAAAAAGAGTCTTTTTGGATATCAAGTGAACGAACTACCATTGGGCTACTCAATAGATGAGCTTTATATAGAATCATTATAAAAATTTTTCTATATAAATGTAGTGATGAATAAAAATCTTATTCTCTTAAGTGCTCGAATTGTAGGTCGAAATAAAATTTTATTTTTCTAAGGTATTCACATTAAATTCTCTTTTTAGATAATCGAGATAAATTATGGCATTTAGAGTCTCTTTAGAAGTTCTAATAATATTTAAATAATCAACATATATAATAATTATCACAAATGCCTTTTCGAATTTCTTTATAAAAATATATGAATAAATATGGTTATTTTTATAACTTTCTTTCAATAAAGATTTATTGAAACGATTATACCACATATACATAAGTTAGTAATAAAGAGTAGATATTAAAAAATATAAAAAGTATAGCATAAATTGAATTTTTTAAAACTAAAAAAAAATACTAAAAATAATCTTGATAGAGATATCTATATTTTAATTGAATTCATTGCTCAAGAATATGTATTATAAACCTCGGACATGTTAAGTTCTTCTAGAACTTTCATATAGATATTATTTCAAGTAAACAAATAAGTTGTGATAACATTTATTAAATGCATGCATATGAATTTTGTTTTCATATATTTTGTTAAGCTAATGAGATAACAAAATATAATTGCATCCATTAAAGGAGAATACATCTCCTTATAGTCAATGTGAAGTCTTCGTAAAAAAATTTATGTTATAAGTCTTGCTTTATATCTCATAATCTCATATTCTTTATGTCTGTTTTCGCACAAATACCCATTTATATCCCACTAGTTTAACATCTTCAGATATTTTGACTATGAGTTCAAAAACTACTCATTTTTGTAAGATAATATAGTTCTATCTAGATTGCTCTTTTCATTTAAGCTAATCATCTCTCTCGTCAACATTCTTTAATAAATTTAGGCTTAAGATCTTTATTTTCATTCAAAATATCAATTGCAACATTATATGTAAAAATATTATCAATAAATATTTCTTTTCGATCCTATTTTCTCATTATATTGACATAATTTATCAAAGTCTTTTGATTTTTCTCAAGCATTTGGACTTCTTCTAAAAGCTTATTATCGAAATATCTTGAAATTTTTTTTTATAAATATTTACATCCTTTATATTTTCATTTTGATTACTTATTTTTTTCTTTCGTGTTTTTTTCTTCGAACCGATCGATCTTCCGCACTTCGTGCATGTTTTAGATTCATTTACTATAATATTAATAGATTACCTTTCTAGGACATGAACTCTAATATGAGCATTCTCAATGGGGGTATGCACTTTAGTTACTCTTTTTGGATTTGATAATGTAGCTAACAATTGGTTTGTAATACTTTATAAATAAATTAGTTTATAAAGCTTTATAAATAAATTATCTTTTGAACTTCTAGTTCACATTATTTTAAGATTAAGATGTTGTAAAGATGGAGTAATCCATATAATCTCTTTTTTCAACATTTTCAAGCAGCTTATTTTGCTTATTCTCTCCCTTTAATATTGGAAAAATTATTTCATCAAAATGACGATCAGTAAATGGAGCTGTAAAAATACCTCTTATTTATGATTCAAAATATTTAATTATTGAAAAAAATTCAAATATTCCTAATCTCCTTTAAAGTGCCCATTTTAATTCATTATGGAGGAGTGCTAGGGATATATACTCGCCTAGTAAAAAAAAATTTAGATGAGAAATATTTAATTCATAACTAGAAATCGATTGAAGAATGGAGAATTTCGATAACTTGTGGGTCCGATGCGAATAAGTGTTATTACATATAATATTATATGTTCTCAAACATAAACGAGAGGTTTTCATAACTAATAGTTTAGCTATCAACTTGAGTCTTTTGATAAATGATTATGCTAAATATTTGTTAGTATCAACATGAGCAACATATTGTTCAACCTTTATTCTAATAGTCAATCAATAATTATTTAATGTTTGCTAGATAATTCACCGACATTAATCAAGACAAATTGTTTTAATGGCATAATCTGGAAATTATGCTCATAATCGAATTATTTGAGCCGACGAATCTAAAAAATGTCGAGTTAATAAACATCCATGTAATCATCTTATGGATGCGTCTATTAAAATTATAAAATATCTAAATGGTCCACATGGTGAATGAATTGATTCACATATACCACCTTGAATACGTTTTAAAAATATTAGAGATTCAATCTTAATTTTACTTTGTGATAGTTTAATAATTAGTTTGCTTTGAAAACATGCAAAACATAAAAATTCATTAGATTAAAGAACTTTCTAGCTTTTTAATATATGCTCATATGAATTTTTAATAATTTTTCACATTATGAAAGACCCATGATAACTTAACCAGTCATGCCATGTAATAAAAGTATTTGAATTCGTAAATTTTTTAATTACTATAGTATTTATTTCAATCATTCAAATATTTATAACAAGGATAAGAAGAGAAAATGGATAATTTCTCAAATACATATCTTATATCCGATGTAATAATTATAATATATAATTATTTAATATTTTTCACATTTGATGTCTTGATATGACGTCCATTTAAATGAATATCTTTAAAACACAATGAATTTCTATGAGACTTTAAAAAGAATAATGAATCGTTTATAATATAACCTTTCATTTCGAGTAATAATATATTGACCCTTTTAGAGTCTTTAATTTTTGTCACTTCAAGTAATAACATATTTGCTCTTCTAAAACCTTTAAAAGTTATCTCTTTAAGTAATAATATATTCGTTCTTGTAGAGCCTTTTATTAGATCGATACAATCGAAGTAATATTAATACAAAATAAATAAATAAATAAACACCAAGCAAATAAATGAATATATTCTTCATAAATAAAAAAATAAATTTATAATTATCACTATACAATAGAAATTATAAGAAATATAAAATATTTTATTTATAAATAAAAAAAATAACAAGTAATTGATTTCAATTGCTATTATTTTGATATATAAAATTAGTCTTTATATTTTACTCTCTTTTTTTCAACAAGGTTTGATAAGACTCAATGAGGTGTTTTAGTGTACGATAAGTACGCGACCAATGTCCATTCATGTCACATATATAACATTCATTTTCATGATACTCACTTGATCTACTTTTGTTCTTTTGTTTTTTTTCATAGTTTATCTACTTCGATGGTGAGGTGTATTATTATAGTCATTATAATTATAATGGTAATTATTCTAACCACATTTATGGCCATGACCCCATCTTCATCTATGTCCAAAATTATTATAAGTTATCACATTCACTTCAAGAAATGGAATAGATCTAGTTGGACGAGATTTATTCTTTTTCATCAATAACTCGTTATTTTATTTAGCCACGAACAAGTATAAAATCGATCCATAATATTTCTTAAACTCTTTTCCTCGATATTGCTACTTTAGGAGCATATTCGAGATAAGAATAATAGAGAATATTTACTCAGCATCATGCATCCATGATCAATAATTCTTGCTCGAAATGTCAAGGGTTACAAAATCAAGTTCGTAGGGTTTGATATGATAAAAATTTTATAATGCAAAGTATAATAATAATATTAGAAAATAAGAGTAAAATATAATAATAAAATTTAAATAAAAACAAGTATAATAATAAAATTTAAACTTTTCAAACAATATATATTAGATCATTAGATTTTATATATTAAATCATTTAATTTTTTCAAATGTATATTCTATGTATCATTATATTTAAAGTATATGATAACTTAGATACATACCTTTTAATGATCTAGATAATTTAAATTTTTTTTATAGAATGCTCATGTAGAGAAACAATTCAATGATTGAAACAAATAATTGAAATTTTTTTCTTATAAATATATACTTCATGATCTATTATTTCGGTTGGTTAGAGTTTTGTATTGAGAACATGTTATAAAAGAAATAATAATAATAATAGAATTAGAGATAAATATAATAAGAAAAATGAATTTACTATGAAATAAAATTAATACAAGAATGATGTGTTATGAAATAAATGATAACAACAATATAATTGAAGATAAAGATAATAAGAAAATGAATTCACTATCAAATAAAATGAATATAATAGATAACCACTCTAAACATTTCTATCAATCTCTATAAAATACTTCTCTCCAAACTAATGAAAAATTAAACATATTTATATGCTTCAAGATTAGAAAAAGAATTAAAAGTGATTATAAAATATTTAAAAGATATATAAATAATTGAATTAATTTTTTTAATTATTATTCAATGATGGATTAAATTACAGAATATGGGTTGATTATATACATTTATTATTTCAAGTATCCATTAATTAAAATGATTCTGATAAACCCGCGCAACATTATCTCCATATGTCATTCTTCCATTGGCATGTCAGATATTTCCTAACCTCCTCTTACCCCGAGCCTCTTCGTCTCTCCACCGCAGATCTTCGTCATCACTAAATCCAACGCACAAAATTGACCTCTCGAAATCCGTTAAACACGAAAACAACTGTCGTCTGTGTGTGGCAGAGAGAGAGAGGGACAGACCGCTATGCTTCGTTACGGAGACGGAGACCAAAATACCGGCTAATGGAACTGCCGCTACTTTTCCGAACACCGAGGCACTCATCAACTTCAACTGCAACGACTTCGTTCAGACTTGGCGCTTCGTTTTCTACAACCAGTGATTTTCTGCTTAGTAGAAGGAGATTGAGCTTGAGAGAAAATGGAGTTAACAAGATTCAAATACGGTGCAGCAAAGCATCTACAGAGAGAACGGGTACTAGTGGTGAAGGAATTGAGGAGAGAGAAAGAAGGAGATTCACTGGAAGTGCTATGGAAGTGACTGCATTTGATCAGAGCTTTGGTGATACTACTTCTGACTTTCCTGTCTGGGAGAAAATCGGTGCTGTTGTTAGACTTAGTTATGGAATCGGTCAGTTTTGTTTATTTACATATTTATTTTAATTATATTCACCTGTTTTTCAATTATTATTATTATGAATAGTTGCGCCTGTATAATTAATTTGAATTTTTCTTTTTTAAAAAAGAAAATAATTTTGTGGGGATTGAAAATTGCAGGTATATATGGGGGAATGGCGCTAGCAGGGAGGTTTATATGTTCAATGACTGGAATTGATAGCCTGGGAGGTTTTAATCCATCTTTGGATGCATTTCTTGAAGGGCTTGGATATGCAGCTCCACCAATCATGGCCCTTCTTTTTATACTAGATGTATGTTTTAGTACTCCATTTAATTTCTTCGTTCAAAATTGATTTCGTAGTTTGCTGATTACTCTTTCTTTTGTTTCAAGAACTTGAGCCGGTAACTGAATAAATGTTTGAACTCGATATTGATAAGAACGAAGAAATCAAGTTTCATTCAAATTAATCACTTTGACTTACAGTTTTTACAAATTTATACGTAAAAACGCAGTAGGAACTAGAATGAACAGTGCAGTACCAATAATTGCCTGAATATTTACTTCCATAATCTCATCGTTAGAGTTCTTTATGTTTTTATTCAATGGCAGAAATTGAGAAATGGAATCCTGTTATTAGTTAGTTTTAGTTAAGTAATGGACCCGTTTGTGTGTTTGCTGATGTTTTGAAATCATTACAGGATGAAGTTGTGAAGTTGTCGCCTCATGCTCGTGCCATTAGAGATGTGGAGGATGAGGAACTTCGGAACTTCTTTTATGGGATGTCACCTTGGCAGGTAAACCCTTTTTTCTTTTAAAAATAGTTGATAATTATTAGATTATTTTTATTAGTCTTTGTCTTTATGGGGAAAGATAATTTGATTCAATTTTGGACCATATTTGCAGTTCATACTAATTGTTGCTGCAAGTTCTGTAGGAGAGGAGCTTTTCTATCGAGCTGCTGTTCAGGTCTGTTCTCCTACTCTTGCTCATAAGTCGACTAGAGATAGTCATTGTTTAAGATTCGGGGCTTTCCAGTGCGTCTCCCTTGTTAGCTGTCAATATTTGGGCTTGCTCACACCGATGATTAATTATAAGGGATTGTATATTGATGAACTTGGTATTTAATTTTAAAATCTAAATGAATTTGGTAACACAGCTTTTAAATTGGCAAGTCTCGTGTGAAGTCTTGAGAATCTAAGTTCTTCATTAATATACATTGACTTCACACTTCTCCAATAGGCGTGTATTTGTTTATCTAGGGTAGTCTGATCTAAAATTGCCTTGTATATAATGTTATCATTCATCAGCATATACATTTGTACGCACAATAACGTTCGCTCATCCATGTTGAAGTTGCTATTTATTCAAAAGAAGCATTAACTGTGAGGCAGCTTTTTTTTTTTTCCTTATTTGGAAAAGGAAAAGGTACTCATAGAAAACTTGAAAATGATTCTTAATTAATCAACTCCATATAACCAATCCTGATGCTATCTGAATTGCTTATATACATCTTCCTTTTCGTTTGAACTCATGTTGGATAAAATGGGACTACTTTTGTGTTAGCCATCAATCGGCCACAACTCTCCTCCTTTATCCAGGTCTAGGACCAGCTATTCCAGTCATAATTGAAAGTAGAATCCCCTATAAGTGGATTTAAATAGCAACAATAACAAGAAAACTTCTCTACTGGGAGCCTATAAGTGGATTTAAATAACAATAATAACAAGAAAACTTCTCTACTGAGGGTACTTAATTATTCTTATTTTTTTCTTCTTTCCTTACTTCATAGGGAGCACTGGCTGATATATTTCTAAGGGGCACCAATTTGATGGAAGATGCTCGAGGAATGGCATCTCTGGTATGTGTTTAAACTTATCCGTTGTCTTTAATCATCAAGTTTTCCTTGCAACTAAACTTGTTTGCTGTCTTTTTTTTTTTTTAATTTTTTATGACTGCATTTGTAGACTGGTGTGCTGCCTCCTTTTGTCCCATTTGCCCAGGCATTTGCAGCTGTTTTAACGGCCTTTCTTACAGGATCTCTTTATTATGTGGCTACCTCCCCAAAAGGTTGGTATTCTTAATCTTTTTTAAAGGAGTATTTATTTTCATGATTAAATCACAGATTGGTTCATGGGTCTGTTCTATTTCTTCCAGATCCTACTTATGTAGTTGCGCCAGTTCTGCCATCGCGCTCTGGTCGTGAAGATCTGAAAAAGCTATTTGCAGGTTACATCTCTTGACTTGACATAGAAGCTTAGTTCAGTGATATTTCTTTTTGAATTTAGCCTTCTCTTTCATGCTCTTTATGGCTTTTCAAACCTTGTATATTTGGTTAACTGGTAAATCACTTTATTTCTGCTATTTCCTTCCATTTTTGAAAAAAAGAAAGAAGAAATTATTAGAATGCCTTTTGTAGTAATAAGTCCATTTAACCTGAGTAAATATTGCATACTTTGGTTTACTTTGCCAAATATGTTTTGATAATCTTGTCCCATGGAAATCTCCAAGTACCAACTATTTTTGTTCATTTTGTGACATGGGAACATGCATAATGTGCATATCAGTTTTAATTCCTTGTTTTGATGGGTGAGGAATCTTTAACAAATAACTGGTGACTATTCTAGTCCTACATCTTCTTGACAGCTTAGAAGTGCATACTAACTTTACATGTTGCTTGGAAGAAATGTTAAGAAGTCTGCAAGTTATTGTTCTTACCGCTTGGTCAAACTGAATATGCATCGTCTCATGCTTTGTCATTTACACAACAGCCTGGTATGAGAGGAGGCAAATGAAAAAGATCTACTCTCCCCTCCTAGAAGGAATTTTGGCTCTCTATCTAGGTTTTGAATGGATCCAGGTGAAGTTAAAAAACCTGTTACTTGATGTTATTACCCATTTATTTCAAGAGGCTAGAACTAACAGATCTGTATCTGCCTTTGGCTTTGTTTGACAGACAAATAATATTCTGGCCCCCATCATTACACATGGCATATACTCAACTGTTGTCTTGGGGCATGGCCTTTGGAAAATACACGAGCATCGGAGAAGGCTGCGGCGGCGAATCCTGCAGCTGAAATCAGAAGAAATGAACTCAAATAAAAGATGAAGTAGCTGCTTGTGAAAGAATCCTGCAACTCAAATGAAAAATGTTGAGGAAGGAAAAGGAGAAACGTATGGGGAGGAAACTTGTATAATACATGCAGAGCTGATTATTTTGGTATGATAATACACTAGAGATGTTGTATGCTGTAGAAAGCGTATTGTATGTTAACAGTGAACAAACTTGAGAAAGTTAACAGTTAGAAATACAAAGCACGGTACTAATTGTAGATGGTGAGATTATAGTACCAGGTGATAGATTTCGCAAATATTTTTGCTTGTTTTCTCTTTTAACATAAAATGTTTCTGTGTTTGGTTGCTTCTTTTCTACGCATTGATTTTCTCAACCCTGGTGTCTGTTGTTTGAACATAATACGTAGCAAAGGAATCAGAGTCGGAATGGGATAGGGTCATTTCGATTTGAGGGGTAGCTATTTGTACGAGAATTGAGATTCTTCCAAACGAGTGACATCCTTGCTGTTAGTTCATGTCTTTCCAAAAATGTTTTTTGGCATCAGGTTCAAATATAGGAATGAACTATTGGAGATAAGGGCATGCAAAATTATAAATGGAGTATCCCTTAGAGAATAGACTCGGGATTCACCTGAAAGCTCTTAGGTTCAAATCTAGGAATGAGCTATTGGAGATTAAGGAAGCGGGGGAGAGATACCTCCATTAGGTATTGAAGCCTAAGGCGTATCGAGCCATCCAAATGAACAAAAGGAAACTATAAAAGAACAAAAAGTCATCATAAGCAGAAACATCACATTTTAGGCAGCAGAAAACTTACAGAAATGCATATTAGGTGCTTTTATAACTTGAAATTACCAGAATTTACATGATAAAATATTTATTGGCTATAAAATAACGTGGAAGGATTGTGCTTGATTCAACACGATGCATTAACCCTTGCCAACGGTAAGATCCGAACGAGGGCCTTCTTCACCTCTAAACCAAGCAGTTATTGGCAACACAACTATTTATTGGCTGTAAATTAACATTACTGAGCGGAATACAAGGGGTTATTATTATGACATCCGCTTTATTGCAAGTCATTTTCATCCATCTAATGGAGAGATGATGCTGGAAAAGATCTTGTAGCCTTGAACCATATCAGAAAAAAGGCATAAACGTTGTAACAATGGAGCATGAATGTGAAAATTCATAACACAAGAACTGAATAAGATTAAATGTCCCAAAAGTAGCAATTGTATCATACCATAGCTTGTAGCTTGAACATCAAAACCCTCATCCTACAAAATCAAAGGGTATGCCCATCGTAAAAATGTTGAAAAAAATAAGAAGGAAATATATCTCACTTGCAGCTCTTGGATTAATGGTAAACTCCCAGTGAGTGAGTAAGGCTCTACTTTCCCAAATCCCAACCCCCTTTTTAGTTGCTTCATACAACACATGATAGCTAAGGGAATTAAGATCACTAGCATATCCAGACATTGTGTTGTCGAAGGTTATAGCAATCCTGTACGTAGTAAAATTAACCCATAAATTCACTACTTTAGAGGTTGAAGTAAAGATGAGCAAGAACAATAATATCATAGCCTGAAACAAGGGAAATTCACGGAGACATAAAAAGGAATAAGACACACTTTCCCCTCAGGTTTTCTTCTAGGAGGACGTATTTTGAAACAGGACCTCTTTTATCAAGCTGCTTTATGTGCTCATGTCAGCCACATATTCTAAAAGTTTCCTCTTCACATCTTCGACACTGCAGTAGAGAATCAAAGTATTGGAAATCGGAATCTGGATATAGTGTTTGGAAAAGGTGAATGTTTGATTGTGCAGAACGAAAATTTTATATGTCTATATCATCATACCAAATATACTTTCAATTAAAAAGTGCTAAGATTCTGTGATGTGTTAATATAAGGCCAGCAGCTTACCTATAGAAGCGAGTTAATCTGACATCTCCTGAAACTGTACAGTCGCCAGGAATTTGATTGATGCCACCTCCAGGATCTGCAGCAACGCAGGTAAATTTCAGAAATTAAAGCATTTGCTTTCCAGAACAGTAATTCATCACACACACATGTAGGTGCAAATTAAACTGTGTTGGCTTCATTGTTGATGGTACTTCAAATTTATTTTGAATCTCTTTTGGACGAGGAGGAAAGTCATTGTGTTTGTATCTTTTTGAGTGCCTCGCTTCCCAGCTCTAAAGGATTTATAGCCTGCAGATAATCCACACATCCTTTAAATTAAGAAAAAAGCAGAAAGTGATGAAAAGAGATTGTAATATTGGTATACATGACACCTTATTTAGTAAACCACCGTGAAGAAGTTTCCCAGTCACTTGAAGTGTCCAAGGTATCATACCACCGGTACCAATACAAGGTTATTTAACAACAGCATCAATCCTGCAGTATCTGCAAGCACGAAACTAAATCACTTACTCAACAAATTTTATACACGAAAAAAAATGTATACAGATACATATATGAAACTAATATATAACAAAATTTGAAGTGTCCAAGGTATCGTACCACCGGTACCAATAGCTGTCCTCGTTATATCACATTCACTGAAAAAAAAAAAAAAAAAAAAAAAGATGGAAACTCGCATATATTCCCATGACAGGTTAAAATAAAAAACTTCTCAATGTCTTCAACACCAGGATCGCAATTTTAGCTATTCAATATCCGCAAAAACCCAGACAATAACTTTGCTTAACAAAATTTGTCAATTCAATTCAATATAAATCCAAAGAATTAAGAATATATAACCCCCAAGGATTACCTTTGCAAGCAACATGCGAGTAATATGCTAGTTTTAATTGGAATATATATAATAGGTCAATCATTTCAATGGCAATTTCTTTGGACGAAGCAAGAGATCAAAAATTGAAAAAAGGTGATCATAGAATTAATTGGGAGAGTACGTGAGTGTGTTTTAAGGCGTAAAATATGAGTTGAAGTAAATATTATATAGTTATGGATTTATTAATAACTACCGAGATTTGAGGCAACAAAATATTAAAATAATTTTAAAAAATACATTTGTAGAGTAAGTGGACATATAATAACAAACTTTCTTTATAATTTTTAAGATGTAATCCCTTATATATATATAAGAGATCCCATTATATTTATGTCCGCGTCAAAACATAAGGTGTTTTTTTAATCTAAGACTTCTAAATTAAACGAGTATTGTCCGTAGAATTTAAGCCAAACCTTTAAAGACTAGATTTTATTGCTAATGGATAAATAATAAAAAGATCTCAATGTTTTTTCATATTACATTAATTAATTAAAGGTTATGGTTGCCTTTTCAAAAATACTAATAGTAAAAATATTTTAACAACTCAAAGTTTAACATAGTGCCCCAGGTTTGGCATAGGTTGGAAAAGAGAAATTTTATAATACATAAAGAGTATCTAATGACATATACGGTAGTTATTTCACGATCCTACTTTAAGGAGAGAGATAGATACATAAAAAAGAGAGAGAAACAGAAGAGAGAGAATTAAAAAAAATTGAGAAAATGTGAAAATCTTCTTATCACTTTTGGTAGGTTCGGATGTAAGTCAATATGTCTATCTCTTTCCTCAAAGTAGGTTCATGAAGTAATTATCGTACATGCCACTAGTTACTCCTTGTGTATTAGCAAATTTTTCGGTTGGAAAACACTCTAAAATAACTTTGTTATGATACGTCTATATAATCTCAAAAAAAAAAAAAAAAAAAAATACATCTATATACTTAGAAAATAATATAAAAAATATTTTATGATCTCACCTAATAACTTAAGTTTTTGAGTTTAAATGATTTTTTGATATGGTATTATTTGAATAACCAAGTGGTCGGGAGTTCTAATTTCTCCACCCTTACTTCTCTTTTAATTAAAACACAAAAAAAAAAAAAAAAGATCGATTTGTGCAAATTTCAAATCTAAAGTATTTTCGTTTAAGAATGTGTGTTAGAGAATAAAATAAATTATATCTTAAAACCTCATTCAATAATTTAAAATTTTGGATTGAGATGATTTTTTGATAATACTTAGAAAACTTTATTTCGTATTTATTATATGTATATATATGATGTCTATCTTTTAAAATTCTTAAATTGAATGATCCTCCATCTCTTCTACAGAAATTATCTTACTTTTTTATTTTCACTTATTCCAAAATAATTGTTTTGTCAAAATATTAAATTAAACATTTTACTACAATATCCCAAATTGAAGTTTATCTTATTAAAAACCTATAATTGGAAAGGGATATTTTTGAAAAGTCTGAACAAAAATTAATGACATGACATTTTAATTAACGAATTTCTTCGTCTATTTATGAAAAGTCAATATGACAATCTCTTTCAGAAAAAGAGAATATATATTATGAAAATCGTTTATGATTTTATTTCCTGGAGTTTATAACTATTGAACTTTTTTTATAGGAAAATATAATTTGATTTATACTGATAACAATACATTTCCATTATAATTTTTATAAGATTTAAATAAAAAAAATAAATATAAAAAGATAAATTTCTTTAAGCATTCTATAGTTTGACGATGGATACACTTTACATCCTTATTTTTTATAAATTACACTTTACATTCTATATATTTAAATTTTATTTCAGATAACACTATATTTTGTTCGGTTATCAGTCTCAAATTACTAGCTAAAATTATTACAAATTATTAGTAAATTTTGATAATGTCCAAAATATCCTTTGAAAACATTTTATGATTTTGTGCTTTATTGCTATGAATTTTTCCAGAAATGAAGCGCTTTTTTTTTTTTTGGGTCACCTCGGCAGTTGATCCTTGGCCCACTTGATTCCTCACCTTAATCATATCAATTCGCTGGATAACAGAGGTGGCAAGCATACCAGAGGCATCCCCATTAACAAAAGGTTTAACATCCGGCCATACACCAAGCGATTGAGGTTTTCAGAATTACATCAATGAGAATAATGATAATAATAATAAATTACTATGTAGATGAAAATAATGAGGATTTTTGAATCAATAATTATGGATTCATTCATTAAAATTAAACACTCTTACAACATTAATTGCTCAAGCACCTTTTCATTGTCTTCTTCTAATTATTAATTCTTTTAATTAAATTTTTAGATGATATAAATCATCAATTGCATGTTATTTCATATCAAAATCAAACACATTCATAAAATATATTTATGCTCGAAAACAAAAACACACATGATATTGAATACTCCAAAGTACATATTAAAAAAAAAAAAAAAAAAAAAAAAACACAACTATGGGCGGGGCATTACACGAGTTTATTTCCATAAAAGTAAAATGCTACTCAACTGGAATCTGATGGAATTGTTATGACATCCACTTCGTTGCGAGTCAATTCTCTAATTGAGAGATGATGCTGGAAAAAATCCTGTAGCCTTGGCACATATCAGAAAGCAGGCAGTACTCATTCTTGGCATGGTATGTAGCCATTAAACCTGCACAAGGATGCAAAAGACAGAAGCTGTAAAAATAGAGCATGAGAAAGACAATACAGTTGAACACAAGATATCACAAACCAGAAACTGAAAGCTGATCTTGTCATAAAGAAACTGTAAATGAGAGAAATGCGATGAAATAGGAATATTAACGCAGACATTAATTTCCAATTACAATATCTCAAGCCATTGGTCTCCAGAAATTAAATCACCCTGCAACTTGATAAAACCGTGCACATATCTCCTCGTAAGTTTCTGTAAATAACTGAATTGGCGAACTAAAAAGACATGATGGCATTAACATTAATTTAGAAGCAACTTCAAATGTATTTCCACCTGTCTTTCATTAACTCCATTGACCTGTTCAGGTACTCCCCCTGATCAACCCCGTTTCCCATTCCTTGTTTCTCTTGTTTGGTAACTAAGAACCACCGAAAGTTAAATTCTTGTCTTGGATATTAGCACTTGAAACAACTACTATGCTGGGTTGCAAAGACGAATTAAGGTGGTCGTTATACAGGTCTGATGCAGGATAAATGACCATTCATTCAACAAGTTTCCATTCACTTAACCATGATGCTGAGGACCAATTGGTAAATAGCTGCATCAAAGAAACTTCAAACCTTAACCCCACAATCAAATGGAGGTTTTGGAAAATGGTACTACCAGTATATTTTGAGTCTCCACGTGTAATTTATGGAATTCCTGGGGACATTATTAAGGGTAAGAGCTCATTTGCTTCAATCCTCTATTTCCTCCCTTCTATTGAATTGAAGGTTGACATGGAAGTCCTCAAATACCATAGGCTGGTTAGGTATTTAAGGTCCACGTGGCAGATAGCTCTTTCAACACCATCTTTCTGGTAAAAGCCCAGTGATAAATTTTAATTTTTTGAGCAACCACTCAAAGACTCGAAAAGAAACCTGATAGCTTACTCTGGAACCACCCATTATCCCCCAGGGGATATTTTCACCTTATGTTAGATTGACCTTTCTCAAGAGACGATGACTAGCTTACTCTGGACTTCAATATATGCTCACGTGAATGCTAAATCATTAGCGAAAAGTATTGCAAGTATGACACAAAAAATAATTGCAGTAGATCTAAGTTTCTATAGTTGTTGAATCCCTAGCCTACACAGCGAGTCGCTATTGCATTTTGCTTTTTGTTTCTCTGTGTAACATTGAGCACCACTTCAGAAGCACCACACAAACTCTCAGTAAAAGCTACTTTCAGCTCCATACATGAAAAACAAAATTAAAAAATAAAAATAAAAGTCAAGATGTTACCAAATGCACCTTTTAGCCTTTCAACTATGCGACTAATACTACAGAATAATGTGTATTCCCATAATGGATACGCAAATTTAACCCCCACCATATATTTGCCTAATTATTACCCCAGCCCACAAAAATTCGTTAACGTACATCCATCTTTTCAGCATTTCTTTCATTCTTTCTGAATTCACCACATGCTTAACCACATTCATGGTCAATTTTCAAGCTCTTCCAATGAGCTCTAAAGTGATTTCAGGCAAAAATGACAAAACATGGAAAAAAGGATATCAAATGAAACTACGGACTGGAAAGTGTGGATTGATTCGAAGTTTATAATGTTTTCTCAAATATGTATATACAGGTAAATCAGCCCCGTAAAATGCCTTTGATAGATAATGACAAGCTTAACTACACTCTGCATCCATAAGGCTCAACTTTTTGCAGTGACATTAATAATAAATAGCAAAAGGCCAAAAAGAAGGAATTGCATCATACCGTAGCCTGCAGTTTGAACATCAAAACCTTCATCCTACAAAAAAAAAAAAAAACATTAACTGAAGGACCCAACTTAAAAGTAGATCATTGTTAATAAGGGGAAAAAGGAGATATATCTTACTTTCAGATCTCGAATTAGTGGCAAAGTCCCTGTGATTGAGTATGGCTTGACATGCCCAACTACCTTTTCAGTTGCTTTACACAACACTTCAAAGCCACGAGATTTAAGATTACAGGCAACTCCAGAGGATGCCTCATCAAAGCTCACAGCAAGGCTGTTGGAAAATGAACTCATATAAAACTACTTTTGGGAAGAGGTTGAAATTATGAGTGAGAATAACACACAAAAAAGTAATTTTTAAGAACAAAAATAACTACATCCCTGAAACAGGGGAGATCCTAGGTGACTGCAAGAAAGAAGACACACCTCCCCCTCAGGTTTTCTTCTGGTAGGACATATTTTGAAACCGGGCCCCTTGTGCCAAGCTTCTCAATGTTCTCATTTATGTCATCCACATATCCTTGTAGTTTGGTCATCACATCTTTGACACTGGAGCAAAGAATAAAATATTGGAAACCAGAAACCACTAAATTATTGGGAAAAACAAATGTTTGAATTGTCCAGAACAAATAGATCCAGATCATAATTTCAAAGACATATATGCTCAATACATGCAAAGACTCAGATTAACATGAGGCAGGCAGCTTACTTATAGAAGGGAGTTAGCCTGAAACAGAAGAAAAAGAACAGATGGTGAGACTCTATTTTAATAACAGTTGCATGCGTTAAAAACTTCTTTACAACATTATAAACCTGATATCTCCTGCAATTGTACACTCAGCAGGAATTTGATTGATCCCACCTCCAGGATCTGTGACAATGAAGATGGATTTCAGGAATTAAAGCATTTGCTTTCTACAATAAATCATTACTTATTGCTACAAAACTTACAACCCCATTGAGTTGGCTTCATTGTTGATGGTGTTGCAAATCTATATACTTGCTCTTCCTTGTGAGGTGGAAAGTCCCTGTAAAATCGTGACTGCATCTCTTTAAGTGCCTCCATGCCCAGCTCCAAAGGATTTATAGCCTGCAGATAATACACACCTTGAAATTAAGAAATAGGCACAAACTGGAGATGTGACTCCATCTTATATTCTATCTAACACTTCATTTAGAAAGCTAGAATAAAATAGGTAAGCAATTTGTATCACATATGAAACTAGAAAGTCCCTCATTAGATTTAATTTTATGAGCAAATCATCATCCGCATAAAACAAAGCTCGATGTGTCTCAACCATCCACTGATTTAAAGATACTCCATCAAACGGCCATTGTCTGTTTAGCAAACTCTTAAAACTGGGCATGTAAGGTGTCGTGGGCCAATTGCAAATTGTTGTTACTTTGGTAACAAGTTCTTAATTTTCAAAAATTAATGAATTAGCAGTCAAGAAGGTTATATGGATTGCGAGAAGTTGGTTTTCATATCTGCTCTTCATTTTTATCCAAAATGTTTTAACCTCACTACCTTCCTTCCTACTTCTATACATATGTACGCAGCATCTAAGATTGAATTGAAAAGGGGGAAAAGGTACTTTACACATACATGTCAGTATTATAAAAATAAATACCTGTTTACATAGACATGCATGTTCACGCAACACGCTCTGAAATTGGTCACAACATAAAAGGAAAAGAAAAACAATACTTGCTTTGGAGAAGGTAACAACTGATGTCATGTCATGTAAAGCTACTTTCAACTTTGTAATTATTTCAGTTACAACAATCCAAATTGCAGTGATTTACAACTTGCTTTTTCCAAGATAGGCCTATGGACACACAGATACAGAGTGGTTAGATTAAAATAGCAGGGGTGGAGCAGAGGAGACACTGACTAAAATCATGTGGGATGAAATGGTGAAAGTGATTTAAAATCAAAGCAACTCAGATAATTTGGTCCAAAAAAAAAAAAAAAAGAGGAATGCGCAAAGAGGAAACATATAAGCTGACCTCCCTGAACCAGGACCGGTATGGTGTGTGGAATTGAGTTTTATGTTAATTCAATTTTTATTAATTTACCATTAGTTGCATAAACAGCAGAAAAGGAAATTACTCCATCGCTAACTCTTTCTAGTTTTTAATCACACAAACCACTTTTACAATACAAAATTTCTCCATGTAGTATTTTCTTGTCTTCATTGTGCAAGCCAATCTAAAGTCAGCAGATTTCTTTTTTTATTATATTATTCTACTAGAAAAGCCCATCATTTTATGCATTAGTATAATTAATTGGTTTTTTACTTCTGTGAAATATACAAATAGGTTTACGTATCACATTATACTGTTCATGTTTGAAAACCAGAAACTGCAAACCAACTTCGTAAACTTTTAGGTTTCATAAATTTATATTAGAAAAGTGAAAATAGTTTTCACAACGTTGAATTAACAATCTTAGACAATAGAGATTGTAATGATATACCTTATGCGGTAAGCCACTATGAAAAAGCTTCCCGGTAACGTGAAGTTTCCAAGGAATCATACCACCAGTACCAATGCAAGGTTGTTTATCAGCTGTATCAATCCAATAACTACAAACACAAAATCACATCAATTAGATCAAATTTACATCTTGGCAAAAAACAAGGACTTTGACACTAAATTTTCATTAAAGCTTCAGACGAAAAAACATCTAAATGACCATAAAGATGCTTTATTTATAACAAGTCCTTTTCTTTTCCTTCAAAATTGTGGGATGCTTACAGAGGGCCTCCCTTCAGCTTATTGAGCAGACCATCTTTCACCAGTGCATCCACACCAACCCCTGTTATGGAAGAATTCTCCTCACTAGCTATAAAGACTGCAACTACTGTTGACTTCAATTTAGGCTTTGTCTCCCCCAACTTCTTCATTAGTTCGGTCACAAGGGCAACATGTCCCAAACAATCAGTGGTTCCACGTCCACGAAGTTTTTCTCCATCGATGCTCAATGAAAATGGATCAAATTCCTGAAAATTTGGTCATCGTGACACGTATAACAATCACCAACATCTCACATTCACTGTTAATGCATGATTGCGCAGAAAAATTGAAATCTTTACTCAGATATTTTCCTGAGATAGAAAGTTCAATCAATAACTTCCAATATATTCAACACCTTAATAGCAATCAGCACAATGAGACATAAATTTTCAACCCGCAAATACTCGAAATTACCTTTTCTGACAATAACTACTGATTCAATCCAAAACAAATCCAAAGGAATATTTCAACCTCTAACTTTCTGAACCACAAAATCAATCCAACACAAACCCAGTTCAAATTTTGTAATTAACAACTTAAAAGTTGTAAAATTTAAACTGAAAAATCTCAAGTCTGAATGCAATTGAAACCTTAACCGCATCACATAAAACATAAAAATCAGCAATAACTTGATAAAGAAAGTAAAACTCCCATAACCAATCAAAATCAAACAAACCCCCACTTGAAGAAACAACAAGAAAAGAAAAAATAAATAAAGGAACAAACCCAGTCATTGGGATTGGCAGTGACAACATCCATGTGCATGCCAACAAAAGACAAGATCTTTCCTTGTTCAGTACCAGGGTACTCCACAATAAGATTGCCTCTATGAGGGAAATAAGAGACATGATTCACAATCAAGGGACCTCCTCTGGTGGTGCTGTAAGGGAGAAGAGAATTCAATACATGCTTGACAATCCTGTCTTCTTCAGGGATCAGCTCTGGTGGGTTGTTTTGGACATATTTGGACTCTCCGATGAGGTTTGTCAAGAGGTTAACAAAGGAGTCTTTGTTCAGGTCTCCTAGGATTTGTTCGACATCAGCCATTAGGGTGTTGTGCCTACGAGTGAGAGAGACTGATAGAGTATGCCAACGGAATGATGTACGTCTATATATATATAGCGTCTGCTAAGCTGCGAAAGGGATTAGGCTGATTGGGTGTAAAGACTTGGGATGATAACCCATAACGTGTTTAAGGAGTTTAGAAGTTTTAAAAAATTAAGTTATATTACTTAGGTGATGTTTGGTAATCCGAAACATAGTAGTCGAAATGATAATAAAAATTTTATTGTTATGTTATAGCTGTTTGATTAAAAGGAATGGAGTAAAAAATAGAATGAAGAGTGAAAATGAAAATGAAGATTTACACCCAATTTCATTCCCATATAAGGTGTGAGAATAAAAGTAAAGAATAGGAATAACATTTTTTTTAAAAAAAATAATATATACTTTTTATTTATTGTCTATTAACAACTTTTACTACCACGACTACTACCACAACCACTATCCCTACCATCAGCACTAGAACCACCACTCGTCGAACCACTACCACTACTATCACCTTTATTATTTTTACAACCATTATAGTTTGATAAAATTATTTTTTAATCATTATTTTTATTTGTATAAAAAATCACATATTAAAAAATTTAAATTGTATTTTGATTCCTTATTAGTATTCCAAACACAGTATATGAATACAAATGTCATTTCGATTCTTGCATTCCATCACTCTATTTTTAATTATCAAACAACACCTTAAAGTTATATTATCGTATCCATAATCTATATATACATACGAAAATAATAGAGAAATTGGATTCAATTGTCAACTCGCTCATATCGAAATAGAATTGACTATGGATTCGAGCCATAGCACATGGTTTCAAAAAACCATATGATTTTCTCGATCTAAATAAAGCAAGTTTTACATGAAGAAGATTTGGCTCAGCATGTTCTATTCGATATGGGTAGGAGAAGACCCCGACTCGGTATTCTTAAAAAAATAGAGAAATCAAAACCAAGTCAAGATGATACGGATCTACCCTTTCTTATTCTAAAACTTTTCAAAGCCTACCTCACATCATCCAAGTTGAGAGAGATAAATTGAACAAGTATAGTCGCCCCTATTAGGTTGTACTATTAAACCTAAATTGGGGTTATCCGCTAAGAATTATGGTAGAGTCTGTAACTCCGGTTCCTTCGAAAATGGTAAGATCTTTGGTGCAAGAAGAAGGAGTTGATCCGTATCATCTTGACTTGGTTTTGATTTCTCTATTTTTTTAAGAATTTGAGTCGGGGTTTTCTCCTACTCGTATCGAATAGAACATGCTCGAGCTAAATCTTTACTCGCTCTATTGTAATTCTTAGCGGATAACCCCAATTTAAGTTTAATAGTACAACCCAATAGGAGGCGACCATACTTAAATTTATCTCTCTCAACTTGGATGCTCGTGAGGTAGGCCTTGAAACTTTTTAGAATAAGCGGAGGGGATTCGCCAATCCTCCGGACGTAAAGCGCATAGTGGCTTTTAACCCAAATACATTACCCACAATGGAAGTAAACATGTTAGTAACGGAACCTTCTTCAAAAAGGTCGAATAACAATCGTAACAAATATCTCGCTCAAATCGAACAAAATTATGCGAAAGCTTTACGGAATTATTATGAAGCTATACGACTAGAAATTGAACCCTATGATAGAAGTTGTATACTCTATAAAATAGGCCTTATTCACACAAGTAATGGAGAACACATAAAAGCTTTGGAATACTGTTTTTGGGCATTAGAATGAAACCCTTACCACAAGCTTTTAATAATATGGCTGTAATTTATCATTACGTGAGACTATCTACACTATAGAAAGAAAAAAGAAAAAAAAGAGCAAAATCGAAAATCTACTTGTAAAAAAAAAAAGGCTTTCTACTTATGGTATCGTCCAAAACAACGATTTTTATTAGTTGTAGCAAAGAAAAAAACTTCACAAAAATCGAAATATGAAAAAAAGAGATATGCCTAGATACTTTATTCTATGGATAAAGGATCTAATTGATAGAGGAAGCGCCGTAAAGATCAATTAGCGAAATTTTTGTTGATAGAATAAGAACTGCTTACTTAATGTCATAATATGAAACAAAAGCTAGGAATCCATATATATATAAACGTTAAAAAATATATTTCTAATATAATACTCATTATAAAACATTTTTCATACTAATAAATAAATTTCATCTCACGTCAAATGAAAAAAAAATCAATATTTAAGAAATTCTTAAAAAATATTAAAACTAAACATAAGTTAATTTCATTTTTTCTTATTTATTAACCACGTAAAACTTAAATAATATAAAATAAGTTTTTATAAATCACTTCAAATCTATATAATACATTATTAAATTAATACAAATAACATTAAAATAAAAAATAATAAAACTGCATCAAAGTTCATCAATTATTAAATTAAATTCTTATTTTTAAATAGAAAATTTTTTTCTTGTCTTATAATACCTTTTACACAAAATAATCCACAAATATTGTATTATTCCTTTTGACGAAACTTGATAATTAAAAAATTATATTAAAATAAAGGTTTATAATTTTTTTATTCATACATATACTATTAATTGTATTCACATAACATATAATAAAAAATAAAATTTTTAAATAAAAAGATTCATTTTAATAGGATTATGAATAAAAGTTATTTTTATTCATACATATAATATTAATTCTATTCATATTATGGTACCAAAAGTTAATAGGATTCTGAATAAAACTTTTGTTCAAACAGTGCACTTTACATATTCATACAATATAAATAGATTTTATTTAAATAAATGACTCATTTCGAAAAAATAATTTAATAATTATTGTAATAATAGTAACCAACTATAGATAGTTACTAAATAGATGTAATCAAAATCAAATTTTAAAAACAATATTAGATCATGGATTATCATATATATATATATATATATATATATAAAACTATTCAGATTTTTAAACCAAGCAATCCAATTTAATAAATGTTAAAATTATTTACTTATAGATAATTAAAAATTAATCTATTAGAAATTATAAAACATACTATAACATAGTTGAATGAATGAAAGCCTAGTCTTAAATAAATAAATAAATGAAAGGTTAAATCTTGATAAATTAGTTCCATTTTTTATTTAGAGATCTTATTTTTTGGAATAAGATAATTGTTTTCTTTTTATATAATGTTGATCTTACCCATATTTTTAAAATCTTATGTAATGTTAATACATCAAATTTTTTAAACAGTCATTTCTTGAAACTATTTGATTTTTTTGAAACAAAATATTTGATAAAATTAGCTTTGCGTTTGTTTTGGTAAACGAAGCTATCTTTTTAGTTTAGATTAGACTAGTAAGATACCCACACTACACTCGCGGTCGGACAACCATTATATATATAAGATTAACGATTCGTATGGTGTGGTGTGAGTTGAAATCTTATTTACGGTGGTTAATATAAATCGAATCTATATGTTGAGCAAAATTATTTGATTTATATATATTTATTAAAAAAATAATTAATAATATTCGCATAAAAATTTATATTTGAATAATTGAAAGGTTCTTTCAAAACATTATTTTATTTAAAAATACATATTTTAGAACATGAAAAAAATAAAAATCAATAATTGGTGTTATGTGTGTAGATAAGTAGTTAATTTCTAATAAAACTAATGATTCATGTATATATATACCCACCTAAATTATATGAAATATATCGAAGTGAATAGATTAATTTCTAACAAAACTAATGATTCATGGATATATACCTACCTAAATTATATGAAATATATAGAAGTGAATAGATTAAAATAAAAACTATTACAAATTTGGTTTTGATAACTTCTAAAGTAAACAAAACCTATGAGTTTTTTAAAAAATAATTATTAATTTTTTTTAAAAAATAAGTGAAATTATCTAAAACACACTTTTAGCTCTCTCTCTCTCTCTCTCTCAAAACTACTACAAAATTGATTCTAATAAATTCTAATTATACATATATATATATATATATATATATATATATATATGACTATGCTACTTTCATTTAAAAATCATAAAAAATAATCCATCGTATAAAATATAATAATATATTTTAAAAAATAAAACACTCACATTATAAAATTTTATTCTAAAATCCATATATAAAAAAACCCAAATTTATTAACAAATAAAATTATATCAAAAAATTAAAAAATTAATTTGATGAGAATTTTAATAAGAAACAAATACTTGAAGAAATAAATTTTAAATAATAAGAGTAATATAATCAGATATATATATATATATATATATATGTGTGTGTGTGTGTGTGTGTGTGTGTGTGTGTGTGTGAAAATATTAAAAAAATATACCATATATATTTTATTACCGTCAAACTAAACATGAAACTAAAAAGAAATAAATATCTATTTTATATATTTTTCACACCTAGTTCCATGATTAAAAAATATAAAAATAAATTATTAGAAGAAAAAATACAAAAAGAAAAAGAAAAAGAAAAAAAGGCTAGGCTCTAAGATTTACTAAACTAATTGGCGCGCTTTAAATGGTTTGTTAATATTGTGAAATATCTTGTTATAGAAAGTTGGTTGTATTTAATTTTAATTCTCTAGATTCTAGCTAGCAACCATTATTTTAGAATTAGATTACTGTCAAAGCAATCAAAACTACACTTTTCTTAATTAGTCGTCTGCCCTCACATTAATTGTAAAGATGATATAATTTTGATTGTTAAATTATTGATAAATAATCAATTGGTCATTGATTTGAATATACTATTATAATCTTGTTCGTACGTTGTCATAATTATTTTAATTATGTTTATTTGTATAGTGTCTGAACATGAATAGTAATATATTTCATATCTATGAAAAATAATCAACCCAAAATTTATATAATTTTTATAGATTTTTTTTTCCAACTTTGTATCAATATTTATAATTTTTTTATTGATTAGAGTTGAATTTAGAAAATTTATATCATATTAAAAATACATATAATATATTTTATTTTTAAATTCTTAATTACTGTCGTTTTTTGAAACAAATATTATTTTCACACTCGTATTATAATTTAAAATCTAAAAAATAGGCTAATTCTTTTTTCTTTTTTTTTTTTCGATTTATTAACCCCATAAAACCTTAGATAACATTAAATGAGTTTCATCAATCATCACTAACCAATAAAGTACAATTTTAGCAGTTTTTTTTCTTTTTTTCTTTTTTTTTCCCATGAAAACTCTAAAATTGCTAAAAAAGAAGCCCTAAAACACCAATAATAATAAAACTATTATAAAATAATGAATGTTCATCTATTTCATATCCTTACTGCTCATGATTCTTAATGTAATTCAATTCATCATTCACTATGAGAAATTGAAATGGTGATGCAATTGATGTATTTTTAATTATTCATGGTCCCTTCTAATTCTCATTTCAATTTTGAAGCCTATAAATAGGCTTGATTGGTCATTAGTTATTGTACAAGTTTTTCGGAGAGAATGAGAAAAACTTTTAAGTTCTTATCACTTGTATTCACATTCTAATGATTTCATTTTCTTGTTATCATTTCCTTCAATTCTCATACTATTTCTATTTATTTTATAATACGTTATCGGCACGAAGCTTTAACTAATTGAGACAATAGGCCATGAGGTATGCATTTACCAAAAAACTTAATCAATTGTTTCAACCATTGGATTTCTTCTACACAAGTGCTCTACCAATTGGATCTAAATTATTACTTAAATCATTAAGAGGCATGTATCTAATTTATCATGTATTTTAAATCTAATCATACATAGAATATACATTAGAAAAATTTTAATGATTTAATATATAGAATCTAATAATATAATATATGTTATTTGAAAAGTTCAAATTTTATTATTGTGTTTGTTTTTATTTAAATTTTATTATTATATTTGTCTTTATTTCCTAACATTATTATTATACTTTGCAATATACAATTTTAATGATATCATATCAACCATCACAAAACTTGATTTTGTTGCCCTTGACATTTTGAGCAAGAATTATTGATCATGAGTGTTTGATGCTAAGTTAATATAATTTATTTTTCATGTCTCGAATATGCTCCTACAATAGCATATCAAGAAAAAGAGTTTAAAAAATATTTTGAATCAATTTCATATTTGTTCATGGAGGCTAAATAAAATAACAAGCTATTGATAAAAAAGAATAAATCTCGACCAATTGGATATACTCCATTCCCCGAAGTAAATGTGACAATTTATAATAATTTTAGGCATGAAAGAAAATGTGATCATAGCCATGGACATGGTCGAAATAATTATCATTATAATCGTGATGACTATAATATTACATCTCACCACTAGAAGTGGATAACTATGAAAAAAAAAAGGAATGAAAATAGATAAAGTCGGCATTCTAAAAATGGATGTTATGGATATGGTATGAATGGATATTGGTCGTGTACCTACCGTACACCAAAGCACCTTATTAAGTCTTGTCAAACCTTGTTGAAAAAAAGAAGTAAAATATAGAGGCTAATTTTATATATCAAAATAGAGGTAATTGAAATTAATAATTTGTTAGCTTTTTATTTATAAATAAAATGTTTTATATTTTCTTATAATTGCATAGAGATAGTGATATATTTATTTTACTATATATTTATTTATTTATGGTTATGAAGAATTTATTTATTTATTTATTTTATATTAATATTGTATATGATAATATCAATGTAATAGAAAGCTCTAGAAGAG